TGGAACTAGATGATCTTTAAGGTCCCTTCCAACCCCAACCATTCTATGATTCTATGTATTTGTATTTAAAAACAAAGTACAACAATAAGCATTTTAGAAATGTGACTGCCATGACTAGATCTGACAGTTACAACACCACCGCTGCAGAGACATCTCTCTACCCGCTTCAAAATGCTCAGACTGTCCCCTGAAGCGCCACATTTTCACAAGTTACAAGGCACTAAGTGGAGGAGCCAGGCAAAGCCAGGAACAGAACAGTTATTTGCACACACAAGTGAATTTGTGTATCTTCACACTTCCTGGGAGCAGTGTACAGCACAGCAACAGACAATTACAACTATGCTCAGCTGTAGCAGTATGTCAGCCTCCCTGCAAAGGTGCTGTAGTGAAACCCAGAAAAAAACCACAAACACAAGTTCTTGAATGAGAGGCTTCCTTTGTTTGAAAGGTTCCTTAAGGTTCCTGTCCTGCTCTTCTGCATCCTTTCATATCAAAGCTTACCTGCTCCAGAACCCATCTGCTCCTACCAACACAGTGCCCGCCTCCCCCAGCTGCTAGAGTTACTGTCCCTTGTAACTACATGTTTTGCAGCTATTTTAGTAGGGATCTTGTAGCAGAAAGACTGGTGGCCCAGTATCCCCCACACACAGCAGTGTTGACACACACCATCATCTTCACTCCTTTCCCCAGTCAGCTCTACTGATTCTGAGAGTGAAGCCAGAGACGTGCGTCGTGATGATGCTGCCGAAGCAATGCTGGGCTGCTTGCTACCAGGAAGACGGCTGACCCAGTGCTCGCAGAGCGAGGAGCTTGTAGAGCCTGCAAGGAATCAGGCACAGAGATCAGGCCAGTAGCATGCAGATGCAGAACACGTGAAACCTCAGAAGGCCACAGTCAGGTACATACTGCACTGCTTCAACAGACACCTGGAGTCCGGAGCTGTCCCACACAGCCACAGCATCCAGATACTGCTGAGAAAGTATGCCTCTTATGAAACAGTTATGGTCGTAAGTGAAAGACAGAATTGCACTTGTCCCAGTATGCTGTGAAGCAAAAGAATCAGCACAACAGCACGCAGGCAGAGGGCAGTCCGTGAGCTGCCACAAAAATGCAGCGCAAATCCGTTCCTTTCCAAAGGCAAATCACGAAGCCTGCATCTGCCCCAGCTCACCCCAGATTCAACCAACACATTCAGCTGCTGGCTGCCTACCTGAGACCAATGGTGCTGTTGGAGGGAAGGAGCTAATCACATTTTAATATCACGGTTTTGACAAGCTCCGAGTAGAATTACCCATGGGGGTGGAGGGAGGTTCCCACATCTCCCCAGCCTCTTTGCCACAACTACCCTTAACAGAAGAGTGTGAGTTTCCTACGGCCTCTCAAGCACAGCAGCAGACTGAGACAAGCCTCGCTGAGTTCTGGGACAGAGAGTGGGGGCTTAAGCAGAACTGGGCACAAATTTCTTCAGAAGGACAAGCTATCCATGAAAGATAAACTACAACCACTTCTTGACAATGCCAGCGGGGTTTACCTGCCACAGAGCTGTTAGCAGACCATGATGGGATTGCTGTGCGTCTCTGGTAGAAAAGAATATAAGCTGTCTGCTTGCAGACTTCATTTTCAGAAAGTTGCTGAACATCACTGTCATCGAAGCAGTACCACTGGCCATCAACTGAGTTTTTGCAATATGCTGAGAGAAAATACATTACTATTAGACTTTTCTCACTCCTACTACTCTCAGGTTTGCTGTATGATAACTTAAACATGACCTCACCTGCCACAATGGACTCAGAAAAATGAAAGGAACAGATTTATTCATGCAACATATACTCTTCCAGTATGACTGGCAAGATTAGGGCCCGAGGCCACCAAAATACAATAAACAGCTCATGTGTCAGGATTTTCTCTGTCCAACATTACTGCTTAGAACAGAACACTATTTGGGGTGGCTCCATTCGCTTCACATTCTGTTATTTGTGGCAGTCTGCCTCCATCAGTGAATCTCCTTCTGACTGAGCTCACCCAGGACAACACAACCCAGAGATGTACATAAAAGGGAAAACCAGACACACATGTTTTCTGGGCTGCTGTGTGAAATCATACAGATTGAAAGAACCATCAAGAAACTTTGTCTATCTCTGGCTACTCTGCTGGAACAAGTAAAGAGGAATTCATAAACTGGATGTGCACGTAGGCAAGGTGCAAATACTTCCTATGTATAACAGTCTCTTGCAACTACAGAAGATGTGTTGAGTGGCCAGGAGCATTTTTGAAACATGAAGAGACAGTTACATACTCTGAAGGAAAAAAAAATAGTAGAGAGAAACATGCAGTAAGGTATTTAGGCATTGTTGCATTCTTCAAAGTCATAAAAGTTACCCTTCCAGTGTTATATAGCCAGCCCTTGTTAGTTGAGTTAGGTTCTTTTGTCAAGAAAAGTGAAGAAATTATGGACACTCAATAGAAAAAAAAAAAAAGATAACTGTTTTCTTTCTGAAAGGACCCAACACACAGAATATTGCAGGATACTTGCCTGTATAGTGTCCTCCTTGCATGGTGCCATGATGATTGCAGACAGCATACAGATCATAGATATAATCCTCAGGATCTCTTCCAAGACCATAAGGTCTCCTCCAGGGTGACCAGTGAGATGGCAGACTCCAACTGCTCTGACTACGTTTAACAACATGAGGAGTCATGTCCAAGCCACTCAGGGGGAATTTAACCATGTTTTGAAGTTTCATCCTTCGGTCTCCTTCCTGTGCAAACACAGAATAGCATGAGCTGCAGCGGCAGTGACGCCACCATGCTTGGGGGAAACAAAAGCCCAGGAGAGGAAAGCATAGTGCAGAACAGCTGCGTCTGAAGAGGTGGTCTGGTCAGGTCACTCCCTGGCTAAGCAGCAGTCTTCCAGCATCACTGCAGACATCCTTACCTGTCTAAACCTTTTGAGATGTATGATGAGAACATCAGGTAAAGTCCAGAGGCTCAGTGTGATGCTACCCTGCTGCAGCTGCTTGCAGTGTGGGCATCGCCATGCATCATCTGGGGCAAGCTACAAGGGAGAGGCATGAATGGTATTAGTTTTCAAATTCCAAGGCAGCTTTCAGTAAGCCACTGCTCCTCTGCTGCCCCAGGCCCACTGCAGACACTGACCCCTGCACCCCATCTACCTCCAGCATTTATCAAGCTCATTGGAAATACAGGGTTCCAAATGATGCTTTTCAAAATAGTGAAAAGCAGAGACACATGCACCTCACACAGGAGGCACTTCCCACTGCAAGACAGAATTCAGCTAGCTCTGCTGTTCAGAGAAGCTATTTCCACTTTATAAACCCCAATTCCTTTGAAGTGGGGGAGAAGAAAAAACAAAGGCAAAAAGCAGGCAGGCTTGGCAGCCTGAGTAAAAGTATTCTCACAAGAAAACCAGCAAAGAAACAATCAGAACAGCAAGAAGACAGGTGTACTTTGAATTTTATCTCTGACACCTCACTGCCCTCTGGAAACTCTCTTCCTCCCTGTGTCCCAATGGTACAGAATTACAAACTGCAGAGATTTTCATTGCTCACTGAGAAGAATGTGTCTTTTCAAAGACACAAACACAACACGTGCTTTCCTCTACAGCCCAGTGCTCAGAAAACTCAGAAGCCAGAGAGTTTTAAGCTGCCAAGCAACTTTTCCCTCACCTCTGAAAGAAGCGACAAGAGAGGTTCCAAAATTATTGAAGCTCGATCACAGGTCCACAGTCCACCTCTAGGACCATCCCTTTTTACAGCAGATTTAGAGACCTCTGGCAGAGAAATGCAGGTTGCTTACATGTTTCGGTTAAGGGCCAGATCAGACCCATCTCTCGTCTGCCCTGTGGCACACCATCACTCCTGCCACTTCAACCTCCTCACATCACTAGCAGAGCAAGAGGAGGAGAGCGGCCCATGCTTCCAGAGAACTGAGCTCAGCGGTCACTGTGCTGCCATTCAGGGGGGTCCCACTCAGTGGGGGTTGCCTTGAGCCCACCGCAGCCCTGCTCAGGCTTGGAAACACACTCCAAGACAGAGCAGTACATTCCCACAAAGAAGCCATGTTGTTCTAACCCTTTATAATATATGCCAGAAAAAGGCATCACTATTTCACATGGAGGAAACTACAGAATAGAGGAGCAAGTTCTCATATCAACATGGGGGGGTTGCAAAAACCCAAGAAGCAGTACCTCCCACAACTTTCTCTTAACTGCAGAGAAACTCTGTTAACAGGACTGGTAACTAGTGTTGTTACAAATTTATTTTTCTGTCTCAACAAATGGGTGTATGCAGAAAACAGCTACTCTGCTGAGTACAGGAGTTCATGCAGCACATGGACCAGCCAGACCTTCTGAGTCCTGGCTGCTATACAGTCTTGTCCCTACCTGTTCCTCTTTGGTGTACAGTTGGAAACACTGAGATAAAGTGCAGGTCTGAGGTTGATGATGAAGCTCTCTCTGCTGGCGGACACTGTCGGAGTCTGGAATATATTCCTCTTCCGTATTCACAAACAAGCTGCATCAGGGAGACAACACATTTACCACCACATCCACGCGCTCCCCACGCTGCCGAGGAGCAGTTCTGAAGGTACAATTAGCAGCTCTTTCCTGGATTTGTCCCATTACGTGTGAGTGAGAGCTGACTGGCAAGAGATCCTGCCAGGGCAACACAACTGAACACAGCTTCAGCAGGCACCCACTGCAGTTTCCCTCAGACAGAAAAAGCTACTCACTCCCCACAAACTTTCTCACACAAATACGATCTGTTGGGAAAGGAGCCACAGGCGAGACACCTGCTCCAAAACCCCGGCTACAGAGAAAAGGTCTCCAACATGGAGCAAGTCTGTCCCTGGGGACAGGGGCCAGGCACAGGGGGGACTTTGAGGGGTCTCATGTTTGCTGAAGGGTCCACAATTCACACAAGCAAGCCGCAAGCATCGATGTTGAGGTGAACACACTTTAAAGCTTTCTACTTCATACTTACTAATCTTTAGTTTCTTTGTCCCATTCTACCACTAATTTCACATGAGCAGTTCCCCCCTGTCCACATGACTTCAATGCCCTAGAGAGAGGAGCAGACAGAAGTTAGACCACCTTTCAATCTGAAGCCTACGTTACCTTTTACATACACATAACTTCTCTCCACTAGCCCTTCATCCTTCCTCCACTCCCACACAGCTCAAGTTTGCAAAGGAGTAAAAGGAATTCATACAGCAGAGAACATGGCAAAGCTGGCAAACTGCACTTGCCTAAGTACATTAGTTCTGTAAATGAACATACAGTTGTTTACAGAACAGGCATCTACAGAAGTTTCTAAAGAAAAAAAGTCACTAAAATTTTTAAAAATGGGGGGAGTAATACTTTCATTCTGTTCTCTGTTTTCAAGGAGGACAGACTCCAGATGGCATGATGCAGAACTGAGCAATCCTCACACAGCTTCTTGAGGACACTTAGTCATTTCACTGCTCCTCAGGCCTGTGAAGTCCATTCTACACATCCACACCAAGACTGTCCCTTTCTGCATGGCTACACACCGAGTTCCCAGCTGACAAACCTCCCTCCACCCCTGGGAACGAGGACCAACTCACCTTTCCACTGTTGGATGGCAGAGGGGTCGCTCCTCCTGAGGTAGCAAGTACGTTATGCCCACAACACTGACCACTCGCAAGCTGAACGGGCAAACCTGCAAAGAGAGTAGAAGCCATCTCAATGGCTCAAAGCCAACTTACCTACATGCAAACCCGCTCTCAGCACCAGCTGACATGTACTTTATTCTAGAATGTGTGTTTTACATGAGAAAGCAAATGCAGAACATCTCAAATACACCTATGCCAAGCAGCTAACAGAGGGGTGAGGTACAACAACTGAGGCTTTGTACTCAACTACTTCTCTTTGGCAACCAGAAAAGACACCAATCTTCACCCTTCTGCTCTCACAGGGGGTTTCTCATCAGAAACACGCAGTCACTAAGCAAACATTTCAGCTTTTCTTTTAAGCAACCACCACCAACCAGTGGATTTCCAGTGCAGACAACAGCACTAATCTCTCAAGTATTTCTTGGGGGTAAGGAAGTGAAGCACGCAATTTCTTCACCTGATCAGTCTAATCTTACTTGCATCTTTCAGCAAACAGACAAAAGCACCAAAGAGGTGGAATACCAGACTTGGACATTATTGCACAAAGAAATATTGGGAAGCCATCAGTTCAGCATGTGCACCATGTTTACCACTCCAAGTAACTGGCTTCCCCTTTAGTCCACGTCACACAGAGCTGGAAGTCCCAAAACAGACGAACCATTTGCCTCACCTGCATGCAGGCTGCAGGCCGCAGGAAATACTGCATCTTCTCCAGAATTTCCTTCTGCAGAATATCCCAAGCAATTGTTTTTTCCAAATGCAACACAAAGGGCAAGCCAAACCTACAGGAAGGAGTAGCATTGGAGGGAGCAATTAAAAGATTATTCTGTTTAGCAATCAGATCCCCAAACTCTTGACAGTGCCGCTCTCCTCACTCTGCACCTATGGAGCCTGGCATGCTTTGGATGAAACTCCCCAGAAACAAGACATTTAAAAGCTTGTCTCCAGAGGAGAGGCACTTAACTTTGAGGAAACACTGTTATGGCTGCCCACGCAGAGGGCCCTTTATAACAAGCTGCTGCTCTGCACTCAAGCAGCTTGCTGCAGGCTGCAGAGCTTTGCAACCTGGCTGGGATAACTTTTTCTGAAGCAAATTTCAGTGGCTGAGATAGTTCTCAGTCTGCAGTTGGTACAAATGCCTTTGCCACAGTCATTTTTCACTTTTTCCCTACCCCGCCATTTGCACTCAATTAAAAATTTCCACACAACAAGACATGGTCAGACATGTTCTGCTCTCTGAAACCAGATAGAGAGGTGGTACAGCCTTCCAACCACTCTGCATTCACCACTTTCCAGTAACACTGGACTATTTGAAGTTCACCAAAATTAGGAATATTTTGCTGCATTCATTAATGTTTTTTGATCCACATATTCTTTAGCACCTCATGCAAGCTAGGAATGCAAGCTGTTGCTCCTTCACTTGTGTTTTCACTGCAGAGCGAGTAAAACCAAGGCCAATTAAAGAGTCAGCCAGAAGAGTAACTCTAACTGTTAAGTTGCCAGTCACCTTTTGCTCTGCTGTCCAGTGCACGCTCTGTTACAGACCAGCAAGACAATCTTGTCATTTGCTGCTGGCTTAGTAGAGGACTGTTCCAGTTTTCCAGACTTCACTGTTCCTTGAGAGTAAGATATTGTTCGGGAGTGCTCAGTGCCACATTTCAAGTTATTCAGGTTATTGTTCACATGTATTCCTGAAAAATTAGGAGAAAGAAAGCATTTTGTTATATTTGCCTTTAGTGCCCTGATGCCCCCCTCAAGAAACCCTCCTTCGGCTGCATAGGAGCAGGTCAGTATGGAATCAAGATCATTTTTATCATTTGCATGAAGGCTTCAAAGAGCAATTACTTTCCATAACAACTATTTCTTTACAGAAAGAAATTATATGCAAGTGCTCACCTAACTGATTTTTCACAGCAATTTGTACAAGCACTTACAGCTTTGTCTGCCCGCAAGAAAAACTAAAGTGACAGAAACCCTACTTGTTACTTCCAATAATAAAATTTGCCTTTGATTACGCTCCATCTACTCAGGATGCAATTATTCCCTTTCACTGAGAGGGAGATGCAGAAAAGCTGAGGTTTCTGAGCTTTGAAAGAGAAAGTGTTTGTTCATTCCTGAGACTGTTTATTCATCACTGGCAACCTGATTTTAAATAACACAATTTCAATGGCTTCATCTGGTCCCTAGCAGGTCTTTAAATTAAGCCTGACAACAGATTTCGCATTAAGCCTGGCCTCCAGAATTAGCCCTGAGAAGAGGGAGAAAGGAGTGTACATCGCTTCTCGATAACCTCCCGGCTGACACACCATTAAGTCTGCTGGAATGAGTCTGGACAAAGTGAGAGTTGAAATCAATACACCAGAACATCAACTATTTGTGGGACTTTTATTCTCGAATACATCCTTTTCTAAAACAAGCATCCCTCACCTAGTCAACCAAGGTGGGCATTAAGCAGAGTTATTGACTTACCTCTCTGACTGAGGATACCCTCAGGCCTAAATATCTCTGGGGTCTCAAAGGCAAAAATGCAGTCGCTTTCATGAATGGTGTCCAGGTCATCAGTATCGCAGAAGGAACGATGAAACCCATCGTAGTACATCTCTGTCAGCACGATCTAGAGTCAGCAGAAGCAAAACAGAACCCATTAAACCACCCATGCCTGGTCCAGTCGAGCTGCCCTGTCCCTAACTGGGATTTTCCTGCTAAGGGATGGCATTCCTCAAAACATCCTGGCATCAGCCAGGAACAAGGAACAGTGAAAAGGACTGCCATAAAAAAGCAGCTGGGGTAAAGGCAGCACATGGAGAAGTTTTGGTGGGAGCCGACAGCTTTCCTGAAGCTCTTCCTACAGAGGAATTCCCCATAGGTGTCCGATGGTTCCCTCACTGCCAGCCTGCATGGATCTCCGTGTAATCAGGCAGAAGGTCTGCACACTCCACTGATGGCTATCCCACTAGGCTTCAAAAAGCCAATGCGCAGGGAAAAGCACGATCCAGATTACCACTACTCTGCTTCCCCCATTCAGTCATGGGCACCAAATTTCAATTCCTACATATCCAACATGGGATGAAAGCCTCCACACTCCCTCTCGCTGAAGGGAGGGCACGTGGGTGACGAGACCAGCCCGTTACCTGCTCCGTGGGTATCTTGGTTTCTGAGGAGACAGCCTCCCGCAGCCTGGCCACCGTCCCAGAGATGGGCACTGCCACCCCGATCCGCATGCAGTGAGAGCACTTCCCCTGGTACACCACGGTGACATAGAGCGGCCTGCAGAGAGCATGGGAGGCATTGCTGGGGCTGGGCTGGGCACTCCTTGGCAGCACCTTGAACGCAGTCACCCACACCTGGGTGCATCCAGGCTGTACGTCAGCTACAGGGCCATCTCAGCAGTCCAGATCCACCTCACACTGAAGTTATGCTTGGCCACAGCCAGACAAATATGTCTGATTTCCAAAGATTCCTTTCTTACCACATAGACTGATGTTACTTGTTCCCACAAGCAGAAAGTCTTCTCAAAACAACCCCACGAAGTTAAAAATAAAACTCTCAATTAGAAGGCAACCAGAATTTTCCAACAAGGATCCTGTAATGCAGCTTAGGACAGCCCAAGGCAGTGCCTTAAAGC